TGTTTTCAACTGATAATCTGGCCAATAACACACCTCCTGTATTACAGTACCTCCACTCTGGATAAAGGAGCACAGGGGCACCTTTGGAGCATTATCAATCTGGGGGGAGGGTAGTGTTAGATGTACTAGCAGATTTAGATACACTAACAAATTTAAGCCGTACTTAGGCTCACACTGCAGTTAGACAAGTAGTTACAGCAACATAATTTTTCCTTTTGGGATAAAGGTTTTTAAATGAATAAATAAATGTTGATCATTGTGGGCACCCCTGTCAATGGTAAATGGTTTGTCTCAAAACTCTGCTACATTTGCAAGAGTGCTTGTTCTGTTGAGAAAGCCTTAAAAAAGAAAACTAATGCAGCCATCACATCTAAGAAATGGTAAGCTGCAATAAAATAAATGTTTGTTTTTGGGGTTAATACTGCCTGAACCCTTCTAATGGCTGAAACATCTGCTTAGGGAGTTTCACCTGTTGCAGGAGGGCTACTTATGGGCACAGGGAAATCTCAGATATGTTCATCAGAGGTTTGCGGATGGAATTTTTAATAGTTTTGTCCAGCCAAAAGCGGAATAATCAGTTCCTAATTCCTGGCATTATAAAAGCTGTGGCGACCCAATATGGAACCAGAAACAAAGTGCATCTCCATACGTTTTAAGAGACAGTATTCAACTGTAACCTCTTATTGGCCCTTGATTCTACTATTCCACTGCCTAATTAGTCCACTTATCTTATGTTGTATTCACTATACAAGGTCTAGCAATCTACTAAAATATTAGATACACCCCTCTCTGGACTAATAGGGAGCTTCCTGAGAGCACACACTACTAAAGGGCTTATTTCCCAGGTATGTATTTAGTTGCTACTGAAATGTATTTTTAATTTCCTTGCCCCTTGTAGGCATAGATGGGAGATGGATATGAATGTACCCTTAAGAGATATATTGGATCAAGTACTGCAGAATGTACAGCTGGTTTCACTATCCCCAACTCATAGGGTGACCCAGCTTTTCATTCTCTATAGGGTCCATCGTACTCCTGAAGTTTTGCATAAAAATGGCTGTAGGAACCATTCTCAATGCGCAAGATGTGCTCAATCCCCTGGATATTTTATACATTTGTCTTGGAAATGTCCTAAACTCTATTGTTATTGACAGGAGGTGCTGGATACCCTAAATAATGTATATGGAACTATGTTGACCTTAGACACTGTTTAGGGTATGTGAACCCCAATGACTTAGACCCCAACCAGATACTGGCTATTGTGAGATCACTTTTTGTGGAACACAAACTGATAGCTACTCTCTGGGACTCGTCCAATTCTCCTACCCTGAGAGACTGGATATTTGAAACGATTAAGTATATAATGTTTAAAAAGAATACAGTATATACAGTATGCTTAATGTAATGCCCCTCACAAATGAAAAAAATCTGGCTTACATATACAGTATTCCTCTATCCTTCCCTAAAGTAGCTGGTCTCTACTTATTACTCCTTATTTTTCATCAGTTGGTGAGAAACAACTTTGAATTACATCAAAATGAAGAGTATTAGGGACATAACCTTCTTATCTCACAAGGAATTGAAATAGACTGTGTGAGACTTTCTGGCCTTGGTGTTGTTGTCCAGGGGCAGGTTAATGCAGTATGAATACTTACATTGCATCTCCACACGACAACTAGATTATGTAGTATGGCCTTTTTGGATAAAGGTGACAAAGTTTAGTAATAATATATCACCAGATGGATGCTGCACTCAGTACTCTTATTAAATTTCTCCTATTTTATGGTAGGAAACTGATAGCAATACAGTGGAAGCTCTCAACAATTCCCACAGTCTTGTGATAACTCTCTACAAGTTGATCAGCTAGGGGATGACAACTTAAAGCATATGTAAACCCTAACCTTGTACATTCCCATTCAGTTTAAAAATAGAAGTGAAAGGCAAAGCATCTGTGTGTGTGTGTGTGTGTGTATATATATATATATATATATATACTGTATATATATATACACACATTTACATACACACTATAAATAAGTGATCACACTCCCTTTGTTATCAACTGCATATACAGCTGGGGGAGGAGAAACAGCAGCACACTAAGCTTTCCAGTGAATGGCTGAGCAGAAGGGGACATGGCAGGAGAAGTCTGAAAATTGGAAGAGAGGCTGAGTTCCAGCACAGCAATAACACTGACTGGGCTGGGCTCTCCTGCCTAGTATGGTCAGTTTTTAATAGGAAAGCAGAGGGACTGGCAGGAACATCAGGAATTTCCCACAAAGTAGGTAATACAAAGAAAACAGGATACTTTTTCATACAAGTTCATTGTACAGCAGGCACATATCAGGAATATGAAATGTTGGGTTTACATATTCTTTAAGTTCTCCTATTTGCTTTCCTTAGATCTATTAAATTTACATTTGAAAGCCTACTGTTATAACAGTTCCGTAAGTGAAAAAATACCTGTTCTGTCTGCCAGAAATCCAGTGAGCTTGTATGTTCCTGTGCACTCTTCAGAGTTATGCAGCCTGAACAGTTCAACTCTCTGAACTACAGAACATCACACCCTATATTATGAGGAGATGGTAAGTGTTCTGTAATCCTAACACACTCCCTGTTCTAAAGTAACAACTCTGCTCCTTCATACCTACAGTACAATGAGTGAGCATTGTCACCCCAGGACAGGAAGTGTGTTGCTCTCAAGATCATGTGAAATCAAAGAAAAACCCTGTAAAAAGAAAATAAAATACAACCAACACATCTAAGGTCTCGTAAGCTCCAATACAATATATTTGTTTCTTGGGTTTAGAAACATTTTAAACTAGCTAAGAACATACGTTTATTTGCAGGCATACGTTCATTTTGTGCAGGCATAATCCAAGCCATCGAAAAAATCTTGCATAAAAATGCACAAGTGGTTATATACAAGTATTGCTTCTAAGGGAGGAGAACAGGAAAAGCTAAATTTTGTTTGACTTGACCTGTGCATGGAAAATAAAAGTATTGTGTTGCCAATCAAAGAGAAAAGCATCGTTCCAGGCCGGTCCAGTAATATACTGCCGCTATCACACTAATAAGTGTTGGCCCAGCTCGTAGCTGTCTTCATAGGAAAAGGAAAAGAGTTTGTTGACCGCATGTCTTTAATTACCTTTATTATGGATCTTTCAATAAAACCATTTTGTCATAAATACAGCAGCAGGAACAGACAACAACTAATGCAGTTCACGCTTATTAGCTGAAAAGTTTTTCTCAGCTATGAATAAACGCTGAATAAACATTAATAAGCGAAAATCATATTGTCATAAATACCACAGAGGGAACAGAGTACAACAACTAATGCTCTTTGCACTTATTCAGCACTTATTCATAGCTGAAAAAAAAAAAAACGTTTTCTCAGCTAGGAATAAGTGATGAATAAGCCTGAAACATGTTAGCTGTTGTTTTCAGCGCAGCTGCATTTATAGGTTTTACGACTTTATTGAAGGATCCATAATAAAGGTGATTTAGGATGTGTGGCCAACCAAATCTTTTCCTTTTGAAATGTGTTGCTAATGTTCAAACTATCAACCGAATCCTTCCTTTAGCTGTAGTGGGGGCTATTGCAGATGTAGACTACCTACAAGTATATGATCACCTCCAATCCAACTGTCATTGGTCAGGTTGGGAGATAGTAAGGTCATGTCTGTAGGCTCCTTCAGCACAAATATTACAACCTGCAGGCAAGGCTGTGTTGGATATAAACAAACTGAGATGGAGAGCTATATTTTACTTTACAGTAGTATTAAATCCAAAACCAAAAATGTACAGAACTGCATCTTACCAATCTTTAGATGTGATGGCTGCATCAGTTTTCTTAGGCTTTTTTTCCTGTTTTCACCTGATGATCTCGCCAGTTAACACACCTTCTATATTACAGTGCCCCCACTGTGGATGATGGAGCACAGGGGGCGCCTTTGCACAGCAGCATTGTCAGTCTGAGAGGAGGTGAGTATTAGATGTGCTAGCAAATCTAAATACACTAACAAACTGAAGCCAAACTTCAGCTAATGCCAACACCACAGTGCAGTAACACACAGGTTATTGCAGAGCACTCATGTGAATGGACCTGATAAGGCTTAGAGAGAATAACTCGGGATATCTGTTCAAGTGAATAGTGAATACAATGTACATACCAAAGAAAGCGAACAACAGTGTTATTTCTGATACAAAACTGTATGAAACAAAGCAGGTAAGTATGTAGAGTACAAATGGACAGTATATATTCTGGCTCTATCACATGACATCCAGACTCAAGTGTCCTCTTTCTTTTTATTTCATATAGAAAAGTGGGATTTGATTACAACCAGTGGTATAACATTACATTGTGCAGGGTCATGGAGAAGGGGGTACCACCAGTCCCCCTGTGAGGGGCCCAAGCCAGCAGGGGGGTGAAAAAGACATGCACAGGGAGGGAGGGTGTCAATTACTGGAACCAATCCCCTGTATCGTTCTCTCTACAGCAGCGGAAAGTTGGATGCTTCTCCTCCCACTGGCCTTCAGCTGCTGCAGAGCATACAGGGGATTGGTTCCAGTTATTGCCCCACCACACCCATCACCATTCCACCTGTACACCATACTTTTCCCTCTGCTGTCCAGGCACCCCTGTGTGCGCCCAGCCCCGCAGTACTGCCAGCTTCCCTCCTCTCCTTCCCACCGAAAGCAGCAAGCACACAATAAGATCCTTCTGGATGGAGAGTGAGGGAAGGGTCCAGCAAATATGTCACATTTAACAGCCCTTCCTTTCCTGAATGAACACAATGAGTGATTGGTACTGATAGCTCATTGTGTTCATTCACAACTGAAGCATAGTAACCTGTGTTGTTTGGTGGGGGGAGGGGCTGTCAGGTTCACTGTATGGGGCCATGTGGTTTCTAACAGCAGCCCTGACATTGTGTGCTGGCAATGAAAACTCACAAAATATATATATATACATCCTTATTACAGAATTTATTAGTTCAAACCTATACTGGCTCTAAAATCTTCTGCTCCAAAGACGACTCCATCTAGGTGCAAGCCAGCTTGAGGTCCTCTCTGTAGTGCTTCTTCACAAACATTCTAAATGTAAGCAAAACCATAAATAACATCTTGCATAGCACAAAGAGCCCATTGACTCATTTTGCTTCTTTTGCTAAATTTGAACTATATCTGTAGTAACAATTATGTTATGTAAAGCCAGTCAACAATAGTTTACATATTCATTTATTACATGTACTGTACATATTCTATCATTACATTGGTTGTCTTCATATAGTCATATAATGCATATCTTGGAGAGCATAGCTTCAGCACACTGACACACTATACTTTTCAAAGTAAAACTAATGCTAAAGCTGGCCATGCTATCAATAATTTTGTATCAATTGCAGATGCCTTTCAATCATAAAAAAGTCCAGAAAGAGCAAGGTAACCTACCTAAAACAACTTCTAGAACATGGAAATGAACAATCACTTTTGGTGATGGTTGCCTAAATCTACTTGATTGTTTTTGGTCTCAGCAACTGGCTAAAAGTTGTTTAATTTGTTTAACGTAGTATACTATATGGCCATCCTAAAAGTTTAAAATTATTCTGTGGTTGTTCTATGGATATTCAAGTATTTTACAGATTCTTTCAGAGCAGTAAATAAGCTTTAAAGCTGGCCTGACTCTTCTCCTCACCTATTGACTTACTTGAAGAGTCGTCTTTTGGGTGTCCTATGTGATGTGGACACCTATGTGACGTGGACACTGCCTATGTGAAGTGGTTGACTATTGCATGGCTGGCAGTGGGGGCCTGATGCCATCACAAGGGTATGGTAAGGGACTGGTTTTCTGGGGTGCCAGCATTGCAGCTGTGTTGCAGCACAGAATTAGCAGTCCACCACATCGGAACCAGCTGCGGCAAAGGACCTGGATGGGGCACTTAGGCAAGTATTGCTTTCTTCACCAGATAAAAGGGAAAAATGCCTGCCAGCATAGGTTAGAGGGGTAGGGAATTGAGGTGTGGGGTAAAAATGTTTTTGCCCAGAGTACAACTTTAAAACAAGCCTTCATTGACCTTACAGTGGAACAAAGGAGAATGAGCATAATCAGCCACTAGGAAGTCAGATTCCACTAGAAAAAAAGAAAAAAGGAACCTGGAGATTTGGAAGAGGTCGAGAGCAATAAGGTACCTTTCTGAGTTGAGAATACATACTTGAATGGAATTTTTTTTTTTTTTTACAGAGTTTGGTGTCACTTCAAGAGGAAATGCTTTCTTGTTTTTTTTGGGACTTATTTGTTTTCTGGACTTTCCATATTATGGTTTTGGAATAATTCTATTAGGATTATGATTAGTTGTATGAGAAATGCTGATTGTTGCCTCATAATTGTTTTTATTTGCACATTTGGATTTTATACTTTGTTAGATTTAAGAACACACAGTCACAACGCTTGTCTGCTCACAAATCTCTTATGCCAAGTCCAAACCATAGTGGACCTGTGGCAGTTTTCTATACTGAAATTTGCCGTGCTCCCCTCTAGTAATTATGTAATATGTTTTGGTAAAATGGCGCATGATATATATATATATATATATATATATATATATATATATATACAGTGGGGATCGAAAGTTTGGGCACCCCAGCTAAACATTTATATTAATGTGCATAAAGAAGCCAAGGAAAGATGGAAAAATCTCCAAAAGGTATCAAATTACAGATTAGACATTCTTATAATATGTCAACAAAAGTTAGATTTTATTTCCATCATTTACACAAAAAAAAAAAATGGCGTCTGCAAAAGTTTGGGCACCCTGCAGAATTTATAGCATGCACTGCCCCCTTTGCAAAGCTGAGACCTGCCAGTGTCATGGATTGTTCTCAATCATCGTCTGGGAAGACCAGATGATGTCAATCTCAAAGGTTTTAAATGCCCAGACTCATCTGACCTTGCCCCAACAATCAGCACCATGGGTTCTTCTAAGCAGTTGTCTAGAAAACTGAAACTGAAAATAGTTGACGCTCACAAAGCTGGAGAAGGCTATAAGAAGATAGCAAAGCGTTTTCAGATGTCAATATCCTCTGTTCGGAATGTAATTAAGAAATGGCAGTCATCACAAACAGTGGAAGTTAAAGAAAGATCTGGAAGACCAAGAAAAATATCAGACAGAACAGCTCGCAGGATTGTGAGAAAAACAATTCAAAACCCACGTTTGACTGCACGATCCCTCCAGAAAGATCTGGCAGACACTGGAGTTGTGGTACACTATTCCACTATAAAGAGATACTTGTACAAATATGGTCTTCATGGAAGAGTCATCAGAAGAAAACCTCTTCTACGTCCTCACCACAAAAATCATCGTTTGAACTTTGCAAATGAACATATAGACATGCCTGATGCATTTTGGAAACAAGTTCTGTGGACCGATGAGGTTAAAATTGAACTTTTTTGGCCGAATGAGCAAAGTTACGTTTGGAGAAGAAGGGGCACAGAATTTAATGAAAAGAACCTCTGTCCAACTGTTAAGCATGGGGTTGGATCAATCATGCTTTGGGGTTGTGTTGCAGCCAGTGCACAGGGAACATCTCACGAGTAGAAGGAAAAATGGATTCAATAAAATTTCAGCAAATTTTGGATGGTAACTAGATGCCATCTGTGAAAAAGCTGAAGTTAAAGAGAGGATGGGCTTCTACAAAATGGATAATGATCCTAAACACACCCTTGAAATCCACAGGGGATTACATCAAGAGGCGTAAACTGAAGGTTTTGCCATGGCCTTCACAATCTCCTGACCTCAACATAATTGAAAATCTATGGATAGACCTTAAAAGAGCAGTGCGTGACAGACAGCCCAGAAATCTCAAAGAACTGGAAGACTTTTGTAAGGAAGAATGGGCAAAGATACCTCAAACAAGAATTGAAAGACTCTTGGCTGGCTACAAAAAGCGTATACAAGCTGTGATACTTGCCAAAGGGGGCAGTACAAGATATTAACTCTGCAGGGTGCCCAAACTTTTGCAGACGCCATTTTTTTGTTTTCTGTTATTTTGAAAGTGTAAATGATGGAAATAAAATCTAACTTTTGTTGACATATTATAAAGAATGTCTAATCTGTAATTTGATGCCTTTTGGAGATTTTTCCATCTTTCCTTGGCTTCTTTATGCACATTAATGCAAATTTTTAGCTGGGGTGCCCAAACTTTCGATCCCCACTGTATATATATATATGACAATAGTGCTGTTTCAATAATAGAAAAACACTACACAATCTCTGATAGAAATATAGAACAGGTGCTTAGACACAGTTAGCAGGATGAATAGCAAAGCTGAGAGAAGGACTTCAGTGCTTTGGCTGTGAACCTTGAGTAAAGTAGATACATTGTTTCAAAGCTCATTTACTGCTTGTTTAACCCTTTCCCGCCCAGTCAATAGTAAAATGACAGCCTGGTGGGACATTCGTCGATCCAGGTGGACATCATATGGCGTCCCCCTGGATCGCCACCCTGCGTGCGCCTGCAAGGCCATGCTGCAGCGAGATCTGTCACTGGCTGTGTCCATCAGCTGTGTCTACCGATGACTGATCTGTGTACTGGCCTGTTGCCGGAACCATGTGACCGCTGTGACCAATCACAGCAGGTCACATGACAACTGTAAACAATGGATGGCTCACTTTCATGCCACCCATTGAAAACAATTGTGTTGCTAGCCGTGATTGGTCACAGTGATCACATAGTACAGCCAATCATAGCCCATCTGTGTCATGTGATTAACTGTGGTCAATTACAGCTAATCACAACAAAACAAACTGAATTAATCAATTTAATTCCATAAACTGCTTGTTCATACAGTAGCAATGAATTCTATTGCAATAAGCAATCATAATGTGTAAAAAAAAATTAACATTATGTTACTCTGGTCATAGTGTGTTATAAAAAAAAATCATAAATAAAAGAAAAAAAATTTAATAAAAAAATTGAAAAAAAAACATAACTTTTTTTTTCTTACTGGCACCAGTCAGTGTCCCTGATCACCGCCACACTAGTTGTATGATGACACTTTTCTGCACTGGTGATAACATGTAGAAAAAAAAAAAAATCAATGAAAGCATTTTCTTTTTATTTTCCACAAAATAACAACCTCAAAAACTTGCCTCTTACTAAATACCTCAGACTGTCTACCTTCCAAAAATGTGGGGAATATCTGTACTGTCCTGACATTTGTGGCCTCAAGAAATGAGATGTCAGTACAGCAAGACTGATTGATTTTTAAATATATACCATAGTTTTTGGACTCTTTCCTACAGACTAAATAATATACACTGATTTGGGTTATTTTCACCAAAGAATACATTCTGCCCTAAATTTATAAAGAACAATTATTTGCAAAATTTTATCACAGAAACAAAGAAAAACTAGTTTTTTTCCCCCCAAATTTTCGCAAAAACTAGTGGTGATCAAATACCACCAAAAGAAAGATTTATTTATGTAAACAAAATAATAACAATTTAGTTTGGGTACACTGTTGCATGGCCACACAATTGCCATTCAATGTGCGACAGTGCTGAAAGCTGAAAATTGGCCTGGGTAGGAATGGGGTAAAAGTTCCTGGTAATAAAGTGGTTAAAATATGTAAGTACCTGAAGTGAGCTTGGCTACAGGTTCACTCTTAGATGAAGATAATACCAAGTACAGATAATTTAAACAGCAGAGTCTAATTATATGTTATTATTATATGCTTTATGAAAAATGAAAAGTGCATATTTTGGCTAGGCCGTATCCTACATAAAGAAAAATGTCACATAAACAATACTGGTGTAATTTTTTTCCTGACTCAGACTTCATAAACTACAACTGAAAAAAAAATGAAGAAAAAAGAAAAATTCCTCCATTATTGTTAATAGATGTGGATACCTTATGTCTGGCCACTTTCAAAAGATCTAATAATTTTTTAAAGTGGTGTATTTACTCTGCGTTATGTAGCTGTATTAATAGTAAGCTCATTCTACTACAATATAAACTACAAACTACAATTTGACTTGAACAAGGTACTACTGAAATAACTGAAACCATAGTTATTAGCCATTAAAGAAAAATAT